CAAGGATATGCCCGGAGACTCTTCCCTGATCCGCCGGAAGTCGAGCAAGAGGCGAAAAGAACATGACCACGTCCGCGAAGAGGAGATCCGCGCCATGTCATTACCAATGCCCCAGAAACGTCCAGCCGCCAGCTCGGGAGGCATGCTCCGCAGAGACAGCAAGAAGGTCAAGGGCGCCCTGAACCACCGCTTCGAGCGTCCCACGTCAAACGTATCGCTGCCCCTCGAAAACTCCGTACATTCATCCATGTCTGGCAATTCAGAGAACCGTGCCTTCCGCGTGAGCGCGCTCGACATGTTCTCTCCCCGCCCGACTATCCGCGTCTCCGTCGGCTCCAACCACTACGCCAGCGACCGCATGTCGCCCAACACCTACAGCGACAAATCCACCCGCCGACCCATTAGCAGTACAGACGACAAAGCGAGCCGAAGGACGAGCCGGATCGACGACCTCGCCGACGAACTCGACGCCGGAGCACTCCGCGATATCCTAGAACGAGACAAGAGGCGGAGAGAGAAGAAGGCCAAGGCCGACCAGGAGCGGTTGCGCAGGAGACTAGAGCGCCGTGCAGAGAAACAAAATGCCATGGAAGTAAGAGGTACGCCCGCGACTCCCAGCAAGGAAGGCACCGGCATGGTCGGTCTCGGTATCGAGCGGGAGGCGCCTATGCCCATGGAGGATGTCCGCCCATCTACGCCGCCTCAGCCCCAGCAACTGGAGATGCCCGTCACACCCCGTGCTGAGTACAGTCAATTGCCGACGCCGTTGGAAAGCCCTACAGAAGACCCCGTTGTATCTGATGCCCGAGCTGTTCGTTATTCACGAGGCAGTGCTTCCGCACAAGTACACACACGCGGACCTTCCAACGCTTCAATCTTGCCAGAACTCATCTCGGAGAAGCTTGCACACGACACGCCTGTAGATTCTATTGAGCACGCGACCGATCCTACCCGAAGCGGCTCGCTGCATCCCGTCGACACGGCCGATACCTTTGTCACGTCAAAACAAGGTTCCTCTACACGCCGGCGTAGCTCAGAGGGCAGACGTATGGGTGTATTTGCATCTCTTTTCCGAAGAGGCAAACGCAACTCGCCAGACCAGGCACGGCCCACACCATCAGAGATCTCATTTTCCAACACATCGCGAGAGTCCATGTCTCGCCAACCCCTCCCGCCTCACCTGGTTGGAACCGCTCCTCCTACTCAACCAATTCAGATCAAGAGACCTTCCAGCGTACCCCGACGGACAATGTCCAAATTCAGGGAAGACCTACCGGAATTCCCCCTGTCACCTCCAGATTCAAGGGTGCAGTCGCCAGAAGTCCCTTCCACAAGCGTCATCGCCGCTCGCCGTAGAAGCCAGCATCTCTCAGACCTCCGTGTGGGGTCACTTCCTGGAGATCGCTCAGATTCTCCAGTCAGTCCAGGGGCGCCTATCAATGTCATGTCGCAATCACTCGCCTCTGTCGACTCTGAAGGGTCGTGGCTCTCTGGTAGACCACCCAAGCGATCATCGAACCGGTCGCAGATGCGCGCCAGTCTGACATCCTCAGCCCCGCAACGCAATGACGATTTCAGTGCGTCCTACGAGGAATTAGGCATGGCGGACGATGAATACTTCAAAAAGTTAACCCCGCTGCCAGACCAAAGAGGTCGATCTCCTTATGCAAGCGATGATCGGGGACGCAAGGCTAGCAGCACGCTCATGACGCTAGACGCTGCTGCTGAGTCGGATGAGGAGGCTGAACCTACACCTGCGCAGATGCCTTCTGGCCAGGAAGAAGAATTTGTCCAAGGAAGCGTCGTTCGCCAGCCCACCATCATCCATCGCCGACCCCGGGTTAAATCGACTGAAGGCCTCCTAAGCATGTTTCTCGATGATACTGAGGATCCATCATCCAAGGTTGCCGATATGGGGCAAGAGTCACCGGACCCGGACTCACCGACGTCCCCAACGTCGGATAGTGAGCCAGTCATGCTTCAGCGCGCTAGAAGCGTCGATCTCGGGAAGGGTCACGTTCGTCACCTCAGCGCTGGTTCCGCTAGGCTCCTGGACATTCAGAAGCGATCTAGTACACCAGTACAAGGCCGATCGCACGGGCTGTCCGGGCAAGAGTAACACTCCCATTTTCGATGATTGATTTGTTTCAGGAACACGCATGCATGCCACGCCGCGCCATTCATTTTGCTTTCCTTTGTATCCTGTCGCTCTTTACCATTTCCTTGCATGTCTCTTCCAACTACGACCACTCATTTGTATTTCCTTGCCTATCTCTTGCTTTTTCTGGCTTGGCTGCATGCGTCTCCTGAACCAATCGACCCTTGGATGGATGTGCTCGCTCGGACTACCTACCTGCATTCGGATCGTCTTCCAGACTGCATAGCGTGGCGTTGGTGTTTGTTTCAGAGTTATTTTTCGGCATGTTACCACAAGCTGTCTGTGGCGGCTTCTGTGATGCCCTCATTTCCGGTTGTGATTTTTTGGCGTGTTAGGAAACATCTGTAGTATATAGACGGGCTTGAGGCCTGAATTCGGGATTTGGATTGTCACATTGTATAACGTTTAGGGCAGATACCACGGGCACGGCGTCGAGAAGACGCTGCGTTCACCACTCTTTATGAAGAGACTTTAGTTTAAATCAGCTGTATCAGCTTTGTATCTTGTATTGTCGGGCCTCCATGATGCTTTCCCTGGTGTTCTGACGTAGCGTGTACGTCTTGTAGGCTACTTGAAATGGCGGTGGTGCAAGGAAATCTTAACCTAGCATGGCATCTCGCGCGACACAGAGATGACTGCTACGTCGAACACGATACCGTGAGCCGTGATTCTCTCGTATCCATTGCCGCATCTAACGTACGAGGCTGTTCAAAGGCAGGGGAAGCACATGCATGCCGCCGTCGCCTTGCCAAAGGAAGCAGGAGGACCCTGGTGGGGCAAATCGGGCGGTCGGGCAAGCACGTCATCTATCATGGCAGCCCCTCTGCGCCGCGAGTGTACAGTAATCCGCGCTTTATCATCATAACGCCAGACCTAGGAACCCTTTAGAAACCCTACTCCCTCGTCCGTTCCATATACCCGCCGATATTTGAAATTGTAAGTACCAAGTCCCTATCTCCAGCTACACTCCGCCCGCCATCACAGCGAATCTTCGATTTGCGCAGGGACTCGAACGGCTTTGCCGAAAAATAAGCGCATCAGAATTGTTATCGGCAACGGCGGCCAGTTCATTCCATCAGCCGAATTCTTTGAAATCGCCTTCCCCTGCTGTCTCATTACCCTTCTACATATACTATGTTTGCGCCGTCGTCCTTCCGAGCCACCAGAACACTGCTCACATCTGCGCGCCTGCGAACAGCCATCCACCCCACATCGACCGCAAACCTCTACCGACCACTCTTCACCCAAAAGTTCTTCTCCAACACCGCCAAAATGAGCGACGAAAAGCAGGGTGTACACAACCTCATGAAGTGAGTCATTCCCATCGCATCTCGCACGAAATGCGCGACGTCATATGCCATCGGCATGCGCTGACGCGACGGCATCGTAGGACGAGCGACTTCGACGAGGCCATGGCTGTGAAGGACACCCTCATGGTCCTCGACTGCTTCGCGACATGGTGCGGCCCTTGTAAAGTGATCGCTCCCCAGGTCGTCAAGTAAGTATCCGCACTGCCCTGGCAGCTAGCCGCGACTAACCGTCTTCTAGGTTCTCCGAGAAGTACCCCAGCGCGCGCTTCTACAAGCTCGACGTCGACGAACTCTCCGAGGTTGCGGGAAAGCTCGGCATCCGCGCCATGCCCACCTTCATCCTTTTCAAGAACGGCGACAAGGTTGCCGAGGTCGTTGGTGCCAACCCCAAGGCCCTCGAGACCGCTATCCAGAACAACCTCGAGGCATAGAGCGCACAACCCAAGACGCCCCGCAAGCACCGACGATCGCGTCCAGCTCCAGACTAGACTCGGATATTGAATAGACGGATACTGTTTTGTTGAGGGTTTGAATCATGGGCAACAAGCGGGGAAGTAGCATCGTGATAATCTTTTCCAATATCAATTGCTACAAACATCTTGCACTTGACCATTGGGGACTTGAGAACCAAGAGCATTCCAAGGTCGGTTCATAAGCTTTCAGTCCAATCCCAGACTGCCCCCGCGCCCATCTCCCATGTGTCGTGGTTCTGGAGATGATGCGCTACTCCTCTGATTACTCTAAACGTCACACCATGCGATTCTTCAATATGGTGTTCTCTCAGATATGCACGTTAGTATCTAGAGTGTTGAACTTGAGAGCCGTGACGAAGATCCTGAAGGTGCGTCGCGGCTGCTAGATGTATCACTGCCTACTCGCACTCGCAGAAAGTGCGTACAAAGGACACCTGAAGTGATCGCATGCTGCAGCAGTGTTAAAGTTAGCAACGATTATGTGAATGGCATTTGCAGGCGTAACAGCTGTTCAGCCGTACGCACTGCCGGCTGGGCAATGTGAACGGTAGCATTGTGAATATGACTGTAGCTTTCATTCCGGAGAGTTTGCCTTGGGTCGGTCGCGATTACCAAGAACGATTGGAAAATTGATATTTGTAACTGAACTGAGGTAAATGGAAGGTGGGGCTTGGGCCAGAGGAGAAGGCACGGCTGGAACGCTAGTGGGGTCCTGCATCGTGCTGCAATGCCATCCCCAGACTCCCTCACCATTTTCGCACGTCGTCATTGTATAAAGCAACTACTTCCATTTTAATTTCTTTCTTTCGCATTCAGACTCTAGCTGGCTCGGTATGCAAACTAGGCTATCTCTAGAAATTGGATGTTTTCTCAGAACATCAGCGCCTGCGACAGCTACTTCCACCTTCGAGGCCGCACGAGTTTTGTTCCAGCCCTAGCTTCTCAATAATAAAAACTGCGCAACACATATCACCAGTTTGCACTTAGGTACGTCAGGAAAGACCACTTGCAACAAGAAGGGCGCATCTAGTACAAGCTCGGTCTCCGCCCGCCAACTTCTTAATTCTCCGGACGCCCAAACTTTCGTTCGTGACGAAAAGGATTCAAGTTCTTTGCAAAACGCTTAACGCGATTGCGCTTTGAATCCTTACGCTGCACACCTGATACTCGCTGCAAACCACCTAGAGCCGGCTGGTACATGTCACTGCTGATAGTCGGCACACGTACAGGTGTACTGTGATGCTCTGACACTGCAGATTTGTGTTCAAGCGCTGATGCGTTTGAAGGTGTGATGATCTCGGACTGCGGGCGTTTGTGCTTCGATTTCTCTTCTGATATACGTGTAGTTTTGGCGGCAGCAGCAGTTGTGGAGTGTCGTTTTGGGGCGGCTACTGGTTGCTGAGAGAGATCGCCGAGATGAGTATGGTTGGAGCTTTCGGGAAGATATGAGTCTGGCTCAATGACTGGAAGATCTTGGTCCGAGTCGTACTCTTCAGCCGGCGGTGCAGGGAGTGGATGATCGGGTCGAAGGAAATCTTCTGCCGTTGGCTGACGGATCAGGCCACTATTATTACCATGCGTAGTGCTCTTGGGATGTTCGTTCACATCGTGACCGTGCAAGGGGTATGGCGGTGATCGTACAAAGCCATAGTCTCTTCTTTCCCTGTTCATGATTGGCTCAACGTACTCATTGTGGTCGGGCATATCGATAGAGTGCTGTTCACTAGACTGCATATCATCCATGAAGGTGTTGTACGAGTATGCCAGCGGTTGGGTTCTGCCGAAATTGTTCTCCACGGCGGCCTCTGGATGATATTGTGGTCCAATATCATCTCTAGACGGATACTCCCACATGTGTTGACCTGCGTACATAGTTGGCCGTGTGAGAGCAGAGGAGGGTGGTGATAACTGCACTGGCTGTGACGCTGAGAACTGCATAGACGAAGAGCCTTCTAAAGGCTCTATCCCAGATGGTGTATTGGGACGTGATGAGGGGTACGGAGCCTTTGTTCCTGTGTCCATGCTTGATGTTCTCAGTATCCCTAGTACACGTCTTGCTCGGATGAACCTTCGCGATTTCGTGGTAACTGAAGAGGTATTAGATTTCTGGTTACCTGTTTTTCGAGTTGAGGTCCAAGATCAGATGCGCGTGATAACGAGTTCCTAGTGTGGATCGAATGCACTGTGTGGCAGTGCGGCACAACGGAAACGCCATGAAAGCCTGGTTCAATCATAAGGAGCTTAAGGAAGCGGGTATCGTGAATGACATGGCGGAATTCACAACCATCAAGTTCGTCAGATTCACTGCGATGCATTGCTTCAGACACCAAAACATGAATGTACTTGCCAGATCATTACGTGCATAATACCTGCAGGTTCCGCATCTAACCAGCAGCGACTGAACCATCAATAATCAGCATACGCCTCACGTTACATACTAACATTCACATGTCGACCATACTTTGATATGTGTTGCTGACTTGCAGGGCAGAGACGCTGCGAACTTCATCCTCCACAATCATACACAACTTTACCTCCACCCACGATGTTCTCACCACTTGGCCAAAACCCTATAACTCCAAATCGCACTGCACCGGCTCCTGTTACCAGCAGTCGGTGGGATAACGCTCGAGAATATCGGCGTAGGGTGCAACGAGCGCCTCAGATAGACCCTCGCACCGATGTCTCGATCCCAGATGTAGAACAGCATGCCGAATTCTGGGTACGAAAGCTCGTCCTGGCTATGATAAATCTCGAAGACATCAAGGATCCGGAGAATTCAAGCGCAGCTAGAATGTTCCGACCAGAAGCGTACGACTCTCTACTGCTCGAGGCGACGTGTCGCGAAATCTTCTCAGCTTTAATCGACCGGTGCAAGAGCGGCTTCCGAGGGCCAGCTCAGTTCAACAAAGCCCTGAAACCCCACCGAGGTCTTGAGGCTGATGCTGATGCGACGTGCGCAGAGCGCATGCAAAATGTAGTAAATGCGCTACTTTGGAATAAAAGAGTTGCGAAAGACGTGTTATTTGAGGACTGGAAAATTCGGCTGCTTGTAAACCATCCTTTGGCTTACGATAAGGAGAAGGATTCGCAGAAGGGCTCGAACGACCAGCGGAGAAAGAGATTGGAATCTGAAAGGGAGAAGCTGAGGCAAACTGAACACGAGTTGCTTGCTTATCGCTCTAGTCAGGAACGATCATGATGCAGCCGTGGAGGAGCGAAGTAGCGGATAAGGCAGGACTATGGAATCAACTTCATATGGATCAAGTCAACGGGCGAAAGTGTAAGCTTGATCAGTGTAATCGTAAACTTTCCAAGCAATGATTATCAGTGAAGACGTACCACCGAAACCATTCTTTAGTTATTGAGTCAGCAACGTGACCCGGAGTCTTCGCCAGGTGTGCAAGGAATTTGAAGGTGGCCGTTACAGATCCATCGCTCGCAATCAGCACTGATGATCGGTCTGCGATGCGTTGCTTCAGTAGTGCTGAGAGATGGACGCTGCGCAGCGCTGGAGGTGGGTGCGGAAAGAGAGGGGGCGATAGCCAAAAGCTGCCTAGTCCAGGCGGGGCGTGCTTGGCGCTTGGACAAGGACACTGCGACCAGTCCACACCTTTCTTTCAGGATGGTAGTGGTTATGCCGATGATTTCCTTCACGCCTCCTTCCTTGCGTCTCAAGGCCCGATGGCGACGCAGCCGTTCGAACGCGTCGGTCATTGACAGGCTACCTTCCGCTCAACCAGACCACCGTGACGAAGGCTTCCTTACGCCCAGGAGCAATAGTAAGACATGATGAGAGCTTTCAACACTCCCGAGGTCACTTGGGCAAAATACATCGGAGCAGATCTTCAGGATAAGGGTTGCCACATTGCTTGATGAGGAAGGTCGCGATGTAGGGTTTGTCAAGATATTGTCAGATCTTGGACGTCCGACCGTCTGGGTTTACTACCGGATGGCCAACAACCCCTTCATATCTCATTTCGCTTTTCATTGGGTGCTATCTGCTTGGCCTGGTATCGAAATGCCTGCCAAGATTAGGTCACAAACGTTCAAGAACGGCGCAGCCGTTAGCATCGCTCGGCGCCAACCGCTTATCCGAGATACCCAGAAATCCAAGAACGTAGGATGGAATTCGAGCGAGTACCGAGCGCCTTGCACAGTCAGTTATCTCTGGGCGATCAGGGTACCGGGAAGATTGTCTGGTGCCGAGAACGTTGTGAATGGTAATACAGTGCCACGACTTTGCTGAATGAGGCAGCTCGCAATCCGAAGGAAGATGCCATGGAGATTTATATAACCCAGCGAGTCGGCCGAAGTGTTTGAGAGAATTACGTTCTCACCTGCCGCCATGTCTACAGGGGCAAATCTCGAGATCGTTGACGCCGCATTGGCGAATGCACCTCGTCTTCACAACGACACACGGGGCAGTGCGAGCTTGGAGAAGCACGACAAGTTTGTGTCAACTTCCGAGAGTCTTGTTGGCCCCAATGGCGAGCAATACCCTACCGAAGAAGACTGGGGAAAGCTTCGTCGTGTATATGGCAAAGTCAATTGGATGAGTACGCACATCCTTTCTACAGGGTCTTCATGTACCATGCGCTGACGTACCAAACCACTACTAGTCTACATCATCGGTGTTGTAGAAATGTGTGAGCGTTTTGCTTACTACGGAACAACCGCCGTCTTTGTCAACTTCATCCAGAGAGACCTCCCCACCTCAGGACCCTTCCCTGAAGCTGGCGCTGCGGGCGACGGTCAACCAGGAGCCCTTGGAATGGGCCAGCGTGCTAGCACAGGCCTTGTTCAATTCAACTCATTCTTCTCGTACATTATGCCGCTAGTTGGTAAGTGCCATCTTTGTTCCCGAGCAAGACTTGTACTAATCTTTTCATTAGGCGGTTGGGTTGCTGACGAATACTGGGGCAAGTTCAAGACGATTTACTTCGCCATTGCCGTTGCTACACTCGGCCATATCCTAATCATCATTGCCGCGATCCCCCAGGTCATGGGACCAAACCCCGAAGGAGCTCTTGCTTCGTTCATTCTGGGCCTGATTTTGTTTGGTACCGGTGTGTAAGTGTGTCCGCACGGAACGCACTCAAACCATATGCTAATTACTTGCAGGGGCTTTTTCAAGTGCTGCATCTCTCCGCTCATTGCGGAGCAATATGAGGCCAGCCATCCGCGAGCTTTCATTCGCACCGAGCCCAATGGTGAACGGGTTATAGTCGACCCGGGCATCACATACTCGCGAGTATACATGCGTTACTACCTTCTGATCAATGTCGGTGCGCTGGTCGGCCAGGTCTCTATGGGTAAGCAATATCCGTTGAACCGTGCGATGCGGTAGCTGACGTCCATCACAGTATATGCCGAGAAATACGTCGGCTTCTGGCTCTCCTTCACATTACCAACTATTCTCTTTGCACTTTGCCCGCTTCTGATGGTTACCCTCAGCAAGCACTACGTCAAGAAACCCCCACAAGGTGATGTGCTGGTCAAGTCCATGAGAACATACGGTTTGGTTCTGAAAGGGCGCTTCTCGCTCAATCCCGTGCGTACGTGGAAGAACCTCTCTGATCCGAATATCTGGGACGCTGCAAAACCAAGCAAAGTCGCCAACAAGCCAGTATGGATGACTTTCGATGACGCGTGGGTGGACGAAGTTCGACGTGGCATCAAGGCCTGTCAAGTATTCTTCTGGTTGCCAATCTTTTGGCTGCCTTATGGCCAAATGTAAGTATCGTTGGTACCTTGGATCCACGTAAGACAAGCGCTGACCGTCTTCAAGGACCAGTAATCTGGTTTCACAGGCGTCCACCATGAAGCTCAACGGTGTACCAAATGATGTGGTTCATAACCTAGTACGTTCTGAAGACTCGAACATATGAGAGAAAACTTCTAACGCGAATTGCTCATAGAACCCATTCACGTTGCTGATCTGCATTCCGATATTCGACAAATTTATCTACCCGAGGCTTGCTCACATGGGTATCAACTTCACACCCTTGAAGAAGATCCAAGCTGGTTTCGTCTGCGCTATGCTCTCCATGGTAGTCGCAGCAGTCATCCAACACTTCATCTACCAGAAATCGCCTTGCGGGGAGTTTCCAACAGACTGCGATCAGCCCCCGGATCTCTCAGTGTGGACTCAGGTTCCTGCATACATTCTCATCGCATTCTCGGAGATCTTCGCCAGCATCACGGGACTTGAATACGCATTCTCCAAAGCACCGAAGAACATGCGATCTTTGGTGACTGGTATGTTTTGGTTCACGCATGCTTTCTCGTCTGCCATCGCCCAGGCCTTTGTGCCGTTGGCTGGTGATCCATTGCTCGTGTGGCTGTACATGAGCATTGCCATCCTTACGTTCCTTGGCTGGGTCGGTTTTGCCTGGACTTTCCGAAGCTTGGACCGAGAAAACGACACACTTGACAAACTCCCGGAAGGTGGCTTCCAGTCTAACGCTGAGTACACCGCGGCGAAAACTGAGAACGTGGAAAGGGCTTAATCTCAAGAGCATCGCTTACTGTTTAATATTTTAGGTCTCTGCTGGACTGTTACATAGCTTGTGGAATGGCGAAGGACGATTTTATACCCTATGTGCAACTCTTTATAGCTCGATGTGAAGCTCAAAGCCAGGCCTGCAGTCAACATTAACATGCAAGCATGCAAAGTAGATGACCTAATGCAAGTGTAGGCTCTAGACCTGCAGCTTTTTTCTGGTATGAAGTGGAAGCAGTGGCCATGACTGAGAATGATGAGGCAACAGCCGATAACATTCGCTCCGCGGAGGCTACCGAGGCTTCTGACACCGTCACGACCACGCACGCGTCTACCAAAAGTGAGCAGTCTTTTGCGACTATAGCAAGACTCTTTCGCCAGAAGATCAATTATTCCACCTTAGGATGGAGAAAAGGGTACTCACGAGCTGACGAAGTCATTATCACCTTCTCGCCCGCACATCACGTAAAGCAGTAGCCGGCTTTATCGGTTGGTTCTTGCAAAGCGTCGTTCACCTGGGCATGCTAACACCGATATTACAAAGCCCAGTCCCATTCATACCATCGTGCTTTGAAAGAAAAGATCGCGGCATGAACAATTATTCCCGACAACATACGTCAGATCCGTCACCTTTTTAGGGCAAGCGCCGCCTCGGGGAGCATGGGCGACGCTAAATCCAAGGCTCTAGCCATGAACACATCAAAAGTTCTCCAGCGAAAACCCACTTTCGCATCTCCCGTCACAAGCATTCGAAGAGGCCCCAATTTTAAAAGCATAGCGTTTTGCTTATGTATCGGAGGCCTTCCTGCCTTTTCCGATGATGGCTCGCGGGCGTCACGTCACGGAGATAAAGCTCGTGGCGGTTTTCTCAAGCTCCTAAAAGTTGCGAAACGGTCTTCTGATTAGGCCCTGTAATCTTTTTTGGCTATCCTTTTTTGCCCTTCCTGTTATGGCGTTCTTTTTACAGTACAGAGCTCTCCAGCGACATGTGAAGGAAGAATTACAACGCGTGACTGAAGTCTCAGACCCACTGACTGCTCGTACTGCACGCTCGCCCGACGAGGTACATGGGTTGGGGGATTCAGCGTTACCTAAAGAGCTGGAAAAAGGTGCACCGTTCACTCGGATTCCAGGCATCACGCTGAAAGAAGATGGTAACAACGAGCTGTACTACCAAGTTGATTGGAGCGGGCCCGATGACCAACACAACCCAAAGCAATTCTCAACCCTACACCGTATTGGTGCGACGTTACTCGTATGCCTTGTCGCTTTCGTTGCGACGCTCGCATCTTCCATCGACTCTGCAGTTCTCACCAGAGCGTCTGCTGAGTTTGGGGTTTCAGAGGTAGCGGAATCATTGGCTACTGCACTCTTTTTGGTGGGCTTCGGCTTCGGGGCTCTTTTGCTGAGGTAAGTTGGACGAACGAATCGCATGTAGACTATAAACTGACTTCGTATCTTCACATTCCAGCCCGCTCTCAGAGCTCCTCGGACGATACCCAGTCTATCTTGGTTCGCTCCTCGTCTTCGCGTGCTGGACTCTAGGATCCGCTTTAGCCCCGAATTTTGGCGCCCAAATTACCTTCAGATTCCTAGCTGGGTTTTCTGCTAGCACTCCTCTCACGGTTGCGGGCGGCTCGGTGGGGGACCTATGGAGTCCAGTGGAAAAGACATTCGCCTTTCCACTATTTGCGATACCCGCGTTCGGTGGACCAGTCTTGGGTGAGTCTTTCGTTTCCAATCCGCTTCTTCAGCCTCACTGACCACACATGAAAACAGGTCCAGTGATAGGTGCATACATTGGCTACGAGCAGGATGTCAGCTGGAGATGGACCGAGTGGATAACATTGATCTTGATCGGAGTAACTTTCACGCTGATACTGCTCTTCAAAAGGGAATCATTCGCACCGCGGCTCTTGCACTATAAAGCACATCATTTCCGGAAGTTTACGGGGAACAATCGTTTCCTCACTGCAACAGAAGCATCGCATGGCTCTATCGGCGACCTCATATCCAGATCTTTTCTTCGACCGTTTCTTCTCTGCACACAGCCAATCGTCGTGGCTTTTACTGTTTACTTGATGATCGTCTACATCATATTGTTCACGTTCTTGGATGGGTATGTGACTTTTAGAGATCGTGAAACGGCAGTCGCGAAGAGCACCGCTAACGTTCTTGCAGCTACCCTTACATCTTTGCGGAAACTTTCGACATCAATGAGGGGCTATCCAACATCTGCTTCGTTGGTTTATTCGTCGGCATAGCTCTTTCCGCGTTTCTTGTTCCAGTGGCATACCGCAGAACCGTGCGACAACTCGAGAAAGATGGAGATGATGGATCCGGCAAAGCTATACACCGCGAGTCAAGATTGTTTTTTGCCATGATTGGAGCACCTACACTGCCTATTGGTCTCTTCTGGATGGGGTGGACTGACTATGTAAGTATATGCTATGCCTATCTATATTCATGAGTCTAATTGGCTTTAGGCCTCGGTGTCGATATGGTCGCCTCTAGCGGCGTCATTGCTCGTCGGCTTCAGCAACATTTGCATCTTCATGTCCGCGTACATGTACATCATCGACAGCTACGAAGCATACGCAGCGTCGGCCCTGACATTCGTCGCGCTGGTCAGATACATTGCAGCTGGTGGGATGACTGTTGTTGGTATCCCAATGTACAGGAACTTGGGGACTCATTGGACTTTGACTCTGCTTGGTATCATCAGTGTCGTAGCACTGCCAATTCCCTACGTACTTTATCGCTTCGGGCCAAGCCTCCGAAAACGCAGCAAGTGGGCAGTACAATAAGGCTCATGTGGTGCGCAAGATGATGATTCTTGTGTCAAATCTAGACTTGATAGCATGCGCGGTCTTGAGCAAGAGCAGGTTTCTGAACAGCCATGTTTTGCTGCTCAGTCTCACAGAGTTCTTCGGGTAGACGTGATGGTTTGGGTGATAAGAGGTCATGGCTCGATATCAAGCGAGCTCGGATGAAGAGGCCTTACTGCTGGCGTCGCGTTGTTCCGGCGAAGGATGATCGACATCAGCTCGAATATGATATGTTTCAGACATACAAGTCTTCGTGATTACTGTGCGCACATGCCCTTCCAGGACCTGCGCATCGCACGCTCGGTACTATGACACGCTTCCAGAAGCGATACTAGTCCAATTCCAGAACAGACGCGTCGTGATCTTGCGACGCGACTGATGACGTATCTTCGATGCAACACAGAGACGAGCTTATCATTAGCTGCTCGCAAAGCAAAGACGGTGACAGCGTCGGGTGAAGCGACCACTGATCTTACAACACGCTCGTGGAGGAAGCTGCAGAATCGTAATCTTCCCACCCGTATGCCGAGTGAAATCTATACCGTCGATTTATACCGCGCAGTATGAGGTGGAGGCTGGCCAACGCCCGTGCCATCGTTGCCGACATACTTGCAGAGAACGCAACAGTGACATGATGTTCTCCCGCAAAAGTCGCGTTGGAAGTCGTAGGCGCGTTGACTCGAGGAACAGGCCGCTTTAGTTGGGTGCTCATATCGCTTCGAACACAATCTCCTGAACCCAGTCCTCGCGATCCTCAGAGCCCAACGCGCGTGCAGTATCCTCCCGTGCGCGCAAAGTCTTCTCCAACATATCATGAGATAATTTACCGAGCCAAACTTTCGCTGCCGATCCCTACGACTTGCAGTAGTTTTTCCGTTTCCCATATTTCAACGTTTTGATGTTGCAGGGTTCGGTACGAAGCGCTGTATACGGCACAAGCGACAGACCAAGACGTCTCCACAAAAGTCGGGGGCAGGGGGCACACTTGTCAACATCCCTACAAACGAGAACGTGCCGCAATCATACATATGAAAGTTGAAAAAGGGTCAGCGTACCTTCCCTATGCAGACATTGCAGCGTGGTGTGCACATCGGAGATTTTCTTTTGCCGTTGTTGGTCTTCTGCCGTGGTTGAGCTTGGTGGGGGTCCACATGTAATTTTGTAGGAAGATGGGGGCGCCGACCAATCGTAGTGCCTCGTGTGGCGTGAAAGGATTTGGACACGGCTGATACAGATAGACGATAGGTGTTACAAATTGGTGAGGGTCCGACGATGCGATAACAGGTCTTAATTATACGTCTAGACCAGGGCACACACTCGGCGTTTGCTCGATGCTGCTTTAAGCAGAATCGCATCTATCTGACAGCGATGTTCTGATATCGTAACTATGCGAGTGTTAGCTGTGACGCAGCAACATTATGATCGTTCAAGATCGCCCGAAACGGATACCACATGTGTTAGGACACTGTAGGCGAGAAACGGAAGCAAGACATGAGCGCAGGTATCTCCAGTCGGTATGTACGAACAAAGACTAATACCAAGCACTGCTAGTGTGAACCGAACACGGTGCGGTATCTGGTGCGGATACGACATCGTGGTGGTATTGTCCTTAAAGCCGGTGTAGTCAAACGGCGCGCGCTCATGTGTCGTGCTATACCCTCTCTCATTGCATCGTCATCTCGTACTGTTTTACTTCTGCTCCTTCAACTTGTCTTCGATCTCCTCCAAATCCTCGGCACTGTCGATCTCGATGATGCGGTTCACCTCACTTGTGTTCCGCATGAGCTCTTTTGCGCCGGCGTACAGCATCTTCACCTCGCTGTTGCATGTGATGGGCAGGTAGTATAGCATGACGTATGGCACCGATAACCGTCCCGAGTCCTATCAAGTCTCAGCTTCCCTTGCGATGTGTATGGTGGGTGCGGCGTACGAGGGTCAACGGGTAGCTCAAGAGCACAAATCGCGGTGCGTGGTCGGGGAGCTCATCGGCGAGGCTCTGTACGTCGGTGTAGACCTCATCGTCCGACTGGCGTACTTCGAGCGTCTTCTTATCGATTTCGTCTGGCGCGCATGGGCGTCAGCGCCATTGTGAGGGCAGGGCCGCGGCAGGCTGTGGCAGGAACGACTGCAGCAAAAGCAGACCTAGGTATACGAACAGATAACGGCCTGGGGGTCTTTGGCGCGCGAGGTGCCCAGGCGGAACTTGCGTAGCTTGGACTTGGTCTCCTCAGAGAAGGTGTATAGTCGTGCCTCGGAAGACTGGGCCGAGGTATTAGCGAAGGACCAAGCATGACGCGCGTAGCAGCGAAGTGATGGCGGCACTTGCCATGGTTTCGCACGATGCAGCAGACCTAGGTTGGCAACGGGCGTTTGAGGATGATTGGGGGTGGTGTAGGGCTGAGGAAGTCTGCCGGGCGGGATACGTTCGTTAGCGGGGTCTATGGGCGGGGGTTTCTGAGGTCGCGGATGGCGCTAGCTAATGCACTACGGTCAAGTCGATACACCCTCACCTTTCTAGAAGGCTTTTCTTCTCATGCAACTAGCTACTCATATCCTCTTCCCCCCCTGAGTTACTCGTCTTGATCCATGTTCGGACGGCTGAATCAGGTTGCCAGGCACTTGTCTCGTCCTATCCCCAACTTTGCTCATCGTTCTGCCGCCTCGTTCCGTCCATCGATAACGTCATCAGTCATGGCTTCGACACAACAGAAGAGTTTGATTCACACAGCGGGTTGTTTGATCATTGGCGATGAAGTCCTTGGAGGCAAGGTATGTATGTGGGAATCGATTGAGATTTCTGGCAGCTGACGTGAAACATAGACAGTCGACACGAACTCGGTAGACTATGCCGCATCAACGGCGTGGTACCTCGACTAATGTCACACAGGCCTACTTCGCCAAGTTCTGCTTCTCACTGGGCATCAACCTGCGCCGCATCGAAGTCATTGCTGACGACGAAGGCGAGATCATCGAAGCCGTCCAACGCATGTCGAAGAATTACGACATGGTTGTGACGAGCGGCGGAATTGGTCCCACGTGAGTGCAGCGTGTTCGCTACACCACCCAGCCGCTGAGCTAATGGGCGTCTAGTCACGACGACATCACGTACCAGTCGATAGCGAAGGCTTTCGGCTTGCCATTGAAGTTACACGATGCAGCATTCCAGCGCATGAAGCGCCTGTCGAAGCCGCACAAGTCTCAGCCTGACTTTGACTGGAACGTCGAGTCTCCAGCGCTTAAAGCCAAGAAACGTATGGTGGAGCTGCCTATCGATGATTCTAAATCAGATGAAGATCAAGTGGTTTTTGTCAGCGAGTCGCTTTGGGTTCCCGTTAGCGTTGTGAACGGTAACATCCATATTTTGCCCGGGGTGCCTAGATTGTTTGAAGCGATGCTGGACGGGCTGAAGCCCCGCATCCTACCTAGGCTGACGGATCCGGAGGGCAAAGGCGTGCTGCGGATCCTCATCTCGACTCCAATGGCTGAGAGTGCCGTTGCTGGATATCTGACCGAGCTCGCAGCCAAGGCAGAGCCGAAGGGGGTCAAGGTGGGAAGCTACCCAAGGTGGGGAAAGGACCACAACACGGTAACGCTAGTCGGACGCGATCGCGAGTTCATGGAAAGTTTGGTGCCTGAGGTAGAAAAGGCGGTTCAGGGGAGGCGCGTAGCGGTTGAGGGCGAGGACGACGCTGACACGTCTGACAAGGACTCGTAGAGGGCGAGCCGAGGGAGTAGTGCCGCAGCCACAGTGTATATATTTGAGTGTCTAGACGCAGGGACTTTTGTCAAAATAGAATGCCTGTGAAGATGATGTTGGGACTAGACGACGGCTAGGGTGCTTCTCGAAGATTTGGCGAAGCAGCTGTGCCGCGACCACGCTGGACCCTGGGAGGGCTAGACGGAGGTGAGGATTCAGACAGAGTCGGTCACCGTGGTGCTCGGGGCGATGGTCGCGGATGGTGGCAGAGGGTACCCGCCGACCCCGCTTGGGAGGGTTCCGTGTGGGCGTGGCATGAGGGTTCCGGGCATGGGCATCAGTGTGCTTCACGGCCAGCACCCGCATATTCGGGCAGTCACATGCACGGGAGACATGCAAACGCGAAAGCGACGCGGTGTGCGGCTAGACAGCCAACGTCTTTTGCGGCCGCCTCCCCCTTCGCATCATGTCGAACCATCCCTTGCGCACAGTAGTGGTTCGTGGGCAGCGTCCGTGCATGTGGGCGTCGGCGCTGGGATCGCATGGAAGCGTCGGAGGCGCGCCCATGCAGTGCGCTGCAGACATGTGCCGCCGCTTTAGGTGCCTTTGTTTTGGCGCGGCGTGAAGGGCAGCGGAAGGGCAGCGGACGTGGGCAGGCGTGCGCGCAGAGGCATGCAGCAGCAAATAGCAGGCGGTGCAGGCGGTGCAGCCAAACGCCTTGCAGCCCATCTCGCGCGTGCAGCTCATAGCTGGTGTGGTGGAGCGGCGGCGGGCGTCCTTTTTGGTTGGCAGGGCTAGCAGGCTAGCGCTCTGGCCGCGCGCGCGCCCATGTCCTAGTCAGCGAAGTCAGCGTAGCGCAGCCCATGTTCCTTCAAAGCCCCAGACGGAGCTAGAGGGTCGTTTTTGCTACCGAGATCATCCTGCTCGTCTCTCCCGTCCTCCTCTACCGTGACGACTCTCCTGGCCATCTCCCTCGCTGCTGATAATCCGGCCACGACCTCACCACCACCGCCCGTCACAGCCCCGATACGCCTGTCGCATCGCCACCACTCCCGCCGCTCGTGATCGCCGCCCCTACAGCCTCCTTCTCTTCTCTTCTGCTCTACTCTACTAGACCTATACCCTATACCCTAATTCATCGCCCGCGACCTGTAACCGTCCGGCACCTCCCTCACATTCACAATGGCATCAAAGGTAGGCGCCCAGCACCGCCCGCGCCGCACGCGCCCCTGCTAACCCGCGCCAGTTTCTCCGAGAATACAAGCTGGTGGTCGTCGGCGGCGGTGGAGTCGGAAAGTCGTGTTTGACTATCCAGCTGATCCAGAGCCACTTCGTAGACGAGTACGACCCGACCATCGAGGGTGAGCTATTACGATCCGCCGCGTCATGCGCAAAAGCAAGCTAACAGCGCCAGACTCGTACCGCAAGCAGTGCGTCATCGACGACGAGGTTGCGCTGCTCGATGTGCTCGACACAGCCGGCCAGGAGGAGTACTCGGCCATGCGCGAGCAGTACATGCGCACAGGAGAGGGCTTCCTGCTCGTCTACTCGATAACCGACAGGCAGAGCTTCGAGGAGATTATGACATTCCAGCAACAGATCCTGAGAGTAAAGGACAAGGACTACTTCCCCATGATCGTCGTTGGCAACAAGTGCGATCTCGACGGCGAGAGGCAGGTGTCGACACAAGGTACGTTTGCATCCCATCCCTGACCACCTGCACGTGCTGACCCTTGCACAGAGGGCCAGACTTTGGCGCGCAACTTTGGCTGCAAATTCATCGAGACATCGGCCAAATCCCGCATCAACGTTGACAACGCCTTCTACGACATCGTACGCGAGATCCGCAGATACAACAAGGAAATGTCATCCTACACAGGTGCCCCTGGCTCAAACGGAAATGGCCCCACAAAGCAGACATTTGACACCGATGACCAGGCCGAGAAGAAGGGCTGCTGTGGATGCACAGTCATGTAAGGAGATGGAAGCCATGATTCTTGTTGTGGAGAGATACCTACACCGCTGGGTTCGGTCGACCGCCCTGGCCATTGGCGGTGCTGCTTGGGCCAGCAGAAGAAAACACGCGATGCTACTGTTACGTACTGTCAGCTCACCTTCGCCTACGAAGGCCTGTCGTTCAAACACCTCTTCTTTTCGATACTGTCACTTAGGGTTCGCATTACGGGCTAACGGATTCACGTCTGCTGGATGCGCCTCCGAACACCCTACTTCTACTACTGGTATCGACTCCGTCTTTCTTATCTGGTGGCGCTCTTCGTGTTCGCGTTCATCTATCTAGACCGATTTCTTTATGGCATTTTGATCGGTACACTGTATTCCCTCCTGTCGGCATGCCATGCGAGGCACCATGCAGCACGCTTCGGGGAGTCAAAAGATTTCATTATTTTTTTGACAGCTTTTAGGGTCGTTTAACTTTACCTACCTTCTATGAACATAATTCATCTCTACTCGCATCACCACTCAGCCTCGTCTTCTGCTCACCACACTTCCCGTTCGCTACAGCATGGCGGCAAAATACAACCTCATGCACGTCTTGACGTGCTGTCGCACCCCGCACGAACACCTTTGATCCAGATTGCCAGCTCACGTTGCATGGCGACTGCTGCTGGCGGTGCATTCACGTCCCTCGGCGACCAGCGGCGATGCAATCGCAGTGATCATCCGCTTGGAGCCACAAGCGCGTGGTGTTTCGACTCGCGAGCCTTGCCCGGGCGTCGCCATTGGATGTAGATTATCACAGAGATGGCGCTATCCCTGCACGGCCGTTTCAGGGCCTACACCCCGACTGAAAGAGGGGAAGTCGATCAGGAGAGAGGCAAGTGGGCATCGGCAATGCACACGCGTGTCTCAAAAGCGACGCGATAGTGACTGGATTAGGGCCGACTGACCCAGGAGCTTTTCTCCGGGCGAACACCAGAACTCGCAGATCGCCATGATTTCGTGAAACACTAGGTTGGGGCTGCTTCCTAGAACCCGATGCGCCGTTCTTGCCGCATCCGCAACACGTGTGGCACGTGCCCAGTACGTCAACTCAACCTTCACGTCCTGAAGATCGGTTCGCTTCACTTGACCACTTTACGGTCTTTCTTGACAAATATTTTCTCTCCTGTCCAACTGCAATCAAGGTGCGGCCCGACAATGTGGATATTCAGCAATTATTTACACCCGCCGCTGTTTAGGCTATTCCCAATATGTCCCAAAACGGGAAGTACGCCCTGCCCGCATCGGCACGGATGATGACCTTGTTCGGCCAGTTCGCTGTACACCAGTTCGGCTGCAGCTTCACTCGCTGCTATATGCACCTAAGCGTTCCAACGCCGTTGCATGCGCCTTGTTGCGGGTGGAAAGCCACTCATGTGGCCACTCCATTATCCCTGTAGTACGCTGATCTTTGTAGCAAACACGCAACCCACCGCGTTCGCTATACATTCGGGAAAACTGTTCGTTTGACGGATAGTGATTGATTGTCAAGACGAGCTGTGGAGTGCCTCGGGCCCTAGGTTCATACGTCTCTTTCCCCATCCGTGCGCAAACTGCATGGCGGATGATCGATATCGGGATGCCCACAATAGCTCGCTTATGCACAGGTTCCAATGAATGTCTCCTTTCGT